CAGCTGCAGACAGGTTCTAGCCAGGTTCCTTGCTCCTGCTCGACGTCTTTTCCAGGGACGATCAGGTAGCTGCTGCTTTTCTCCAGCCTTGCCGCGTTCGTAATGGACGGCTGACGCTCCTGTTACGCCCTGCATTGACACACCAGAAAGGAGCCGCGTCTTCAGCAGGTGCTGAGGGTACATCCTCCTAAGCGTGTCAAGCCAGTCATAAAAAACATGTTAAGATATCCAATATCACGAGTTACTCTTTTAAAATTTTGGTGCCAGGCTTGGGCGGTTGGCCCAGAGTCGTGCAAGGTGGCGAGGGGGGGGTCGGAGCCCGGCTGCGCCGCGCCGGGGAGCTCGGCCCTGCCCCCAGGATTCGGGGTGTCTGTGTGACCCCACCGCGATGCCTGTGATGATCCAGTGCCCTCAGAGCATTTCTTCACTGTTTTGCTCTCGGGATCGTCTGCTCTGTGTTGCCTCCAGCATTAAATCCGCGGGGAGGGCAGCGGATTGGAATTCCTGTCTGTGCAACGCGCTTTCTAGTACAGCATCGCTGCTGACACCTGCGGTAGCGGCCAGCTGAGGACTAATGGTTTCCTGCATCTACTTTTAGCATTGTCTGCCGCTATTGTTCGCTTTTTGGACAGATCCAGCAGCTGGGAATGGTTTCAGAAAGCCTGCCTTGCCAGATCCAGGGATATGAGTCCCACTCGCCATTGCCAGGCAGCTTTTAACGGCTGGATGAAAAAGCTTTTCTCACCCAAGAGAGGAGTCACCGACGGTATTTGAGAAACGTTGGAGATGATAGACTTAGGAAGACACTCGTACGGCCCTTTATGCTCTCAGAGCGCCCGAGTCTGCAGGGAGATTTGTTGACATTGCTGGTTACATCAGAGCTGAGGTCAGCGCGTGGCGCCTGTTCAAGCGAATGCGGTGTATCGCCGTGCCGCCGCGCGGCTCAGCGCTGAGCTAACGCACCGGCTGCCTGGCAGGAGGTAACTGCTCCGCAGTCCTCGCCAGCAGCAGACCTTAATGCAAAGAGTCACTATCTCTTTCCTCCTCTTGTATTTAACAGTAAAATCAAACATATCGCTGTTTGTGTCTAATATTTAGGAAAGATGCTTAATTGGGAGCCTTTGAAGGAAAATTCCTGAGATTATCCTCCAAGCAGCATTTTTCCAGCAGCGTGTGTTAGTCAGCGCTGAGTCGGAGGAGTCAGATCCTCTTGGCCCTCTCGGCTCTCAGCCTTTCCAACCCGAGTGCCAGTTAATACTAACACTGCAATGAACTCGGGCTCGCTGCAAGCCGAATCAAACACCCCACCTCAGTCACAAAATAAGCAGGATATTCTTTGGACTGTGGCAGATCAGACACCACAAAAACAGTGGAGCCTGGCACACAGCTGACGCCTCCAAAACCGCCATGACTTTCCCGTGTGTGATTGCTTGTTTTGACCTCTGCTGCTGCAGATGCGTGTGATCAGGGAAGCGGTCCCTGGTGAGCAACTGGGGATATAACAGCAGAAGCCGTTTTGCACAACCTGATGGTAAGTGCTGTGCAGTTCTTGGCTCTAAAGAAAGCAAAGGCGGTGAAATTTCTGATGCTGATTTCCTACCAGTTTGCTACAAGTTACTGTCAGAGACAAGATCATGAGCTGGATGGAGCAGAGATGCTCCTCAGAGTTTTTAATGGGCCAGAGCAAAGAAATGTCATTGCTACTACCTATGAAGCAACATGAGAGCAAAGGCGTGCCATCACTGCCAAAAACTCAGTCCCTTCTTTTTATTTCTGCTGACTCTTATATCATCTGGTTGTATTTTATGACCAATACCTTACCAGTTGGAATCTGGCTTTATGCAACACTAACATACAGCTGTGTCCACGGTATAAGAAACACTGTTTATTCTTAATGATCATCCTGTAGTATTACCACTCGTTTATTTTTTCCTCTATCGTTAAAGCAGAACCTAGTGATTGGGTTTGCAGATTAGGCTGTCTAATAATCGCTAATAAATCTTGGCATTTTAATGGTGACTGCTGTACTTTGGGCGTACATCTAATAATGTTCCTTTAAAAGAGCCCTGGCTTATCAAACATTGGTGGTTAATGCTGTTAAAATGTCAGACGCGTGCAGCCTGGGTCTGGCACAAATTCCATGGCGATGGTATTGCTCTCTGATAAAGTATATCATTCAAAGTTATAGCGTTACTAAGTGCATTCCTCTTTTCTACTGTTCTGTAACAGCATTTCAGCACCTGATAGACTGCGCCGAGCCCTGAGTCTATGCTGTTTCCAGAGCTCACAGCTGTCAAATACACTATACCAAAACAAGCAAACATTTTCCTGCTGGAATATTTCCTGACAAACCTGGTTCTAATGCTATTTTTAATACAATCATTGGATTACACGTGGTTTGAACGTATCGTTGCACCTCAAGCTATATCACCTTTATGAAAAGTACAGAAGTGCTTTGCGTGTATACACTGTAAAATTTCCTCCAGACTAAATCCTGGCTTCTTGCATATCTTTTTCACATGCTTTTTGTTTAGTTTATATTAACAAGTGATATGAAAAATAACATGTGTTTTTTGCCCTCAAGAATTTGGGGCA